AAGTTATATTTTCACTTTTTCATTGACTACCTACTCTTAAAGTACCTTTTGGGAGAGTTTGGACAGGCCGAAAAATGGAGATCTTAAGGCCCTAAAGGGTAGCCAACTTTCTAACACAAAAAACACTAGAAAATTGCCGCTGCCATCCTCTCGGTTCCGATATCAAACAAGATGGTGAAGAATAAGCGTCTTCTCGGGAAAATGAGTAAATTTGTGCAAAAATATGACAAATACGTGCTTTACAAACGGAGGGTTGTAACAGTATTGTATAAATGAAATAATTCTGGATAATTTGAGTTTCAAGGTTGGCTGCCCTTTTCAACCCTAAAAGCCCCATAACATAACCCTCAAAATTACCGAAATGTCCATACTCTTTCATTTAGGTACTCTAGCTCCACTGTGCGGCCCCGGCGGAGCTCGGAGGAGTCGAAACTCGAAAAAAGAAAGAAATGCTCAACGAAAACGTATCATTAAGCTGTCGTGCTCGTGAGGAATTCCATCTCATTCATCACACCTTCTTCCCCCGCCGTCGGTGAGGGGCGAGGGGGTTAGCGGTTTTGTCCTCGCCCGCGATTCCCGCCGCGGTGCCCCTCCTTTTTTCGATACCCCCCCCCCCCCNGGTCCAACCCCCATTTCCATCGCGATCGTCAAGATGCTGGGAAATTCGGCGATCCACGAGTCAGAAAATCGGAGATCGGAGTGACATTGGTTGGCTGAGACGTGTGATTTTTATTACGGGGATTTTTTGTTGAAAGCAATTCCGGGGTACAAAAATCCGCCTAAAATCGCATCAAAAAGTTGAGAAACTAACATAGGAGTAGCGGCAAGTGCAAGATTGAGGATTTATCTATATTTTTATGTTTTTCGACGGTCACTTTAGCATGGACAAGTTCGGGAATAGTTGGCCGAATATCAGGGTGCCTTTCCACATGACTGGAATGCAGGGAACACTTCAAACAATTTTGGGAAGAACTCGACCTCAAACATGGAAATAGCGAGTAGTACCATCCAAAAACTTGAATGTTTTCGGAATAAATTGGTTTCCTGCTCCTCGGCGATGGTCATTGAAATGGAAATCTCAGGAAAACCAATCATTTCTAGGACGATTTCACGATAAGCAGCGAAGGAAGCGCGATTCTCCTAAAAACACGACAGGATGGACAAAATTCTTAGAAGAACCTCTGTCTCTTCGGGAAAATGAAGGGATTTTTCCCCTCTGAATGAACACCGCGGTTGAACTTTTTACTAGTGTGCAGTGTGCATGTGCACCCTCGATCGATCGTGGGCAGGCGGTGTTGGTGAACGGCGCCGAAAAATCTCGGTTTTCTATCCATTCGACTGGAGTTAATAGGGAGACCCGGGGGGCACGGTGGGAGGGGGGGGGGTTCTGGAGAGCCATTAACTGGCCGGCCACGGGCTGGGTGTCGTGGCCGGAGACAATGCGAAAGGCAACCGCAGTCGCCATGCCTTGCTGCGCCGCGGGACCACGTGGTCCTTGTCTGCGATGCGATGACCTGCCCAGTTCCCAGTGCCTTTTCCCCCTCTCCTTCCCATCGACCACATTGTTATCACACAACTCCCTCACCTGACCATCTTGGACCCCCTTCCCCTCTTCCCCACGGCCTAGGCCCTAAATTCCAGGAGTTTTTTTGGATACCTTCACCTGACGAAATGTCCTATCATGCATAGTATAAAACGGTCAAATCAACCTTTTTTTAATATGATTGCACTCAAGAGTGACATTTATTGGAAGGGGCAAGGTTTTGGAAAAGCTTCTGCCTTTGACATGATATGTGCCTTTAATTGCGCGGGGTTTTTTTGGCACCCTCATGCCTCGAAATTCACGCATCAATATCAGTGTTCCTCTCATAAAATTCAATCCGTTGAATGTACCATATTTCAATCTCATTTCAGTCAATGCCCATGGATCTATGACATTTTGGGAGGAGTTAATTTTTGAGAATCTGACCATTATTGTGGCCCCATTTGGACTGAATTAAACAGAAAGGAACCAACCCACATTTTGGAAAAAATTGAGGTATGAGTGGTTTTGAACTCAACCACTGCTTTACCATCTATTGCCAAAAATTCAAAGTTTTTGTTGGAGCAAATTTTGCAGAAATTGAACTTAAAGTTTATCTTTTACATTGAGTCTTATGCAGAAGCCAAACTTTAAACCTCTTTTTCTCGGTTCGATCCCGATGTTACGGTTTTTTCTGTTAAATCCTCAACTTAATGTGTGAAATCAATCAATAGTGACTTTAAGTAGTGAGAGATCTCTTTTCCTCTCAGTTTTATAACATGTTCTACATAATGTTCTCGTTTTTAGCGTAACGTGACTTTAAGCACATTAAGGTGGAGTTTTGCCGGAACAACATTGATTTCAAGTTGGGCACTCATCGGAACTCTTCCCTATTTATTCTACCTCAACTCATTTGAATTTTCCAAGGTTTCAGTGTTTTCAAAACGGAACGCGCTCCACTTTCAACACTGAACGAACGTAATTTTTCATCGCGAAGACCTTGAAAATCTGATTTTCCTCATCGCCACTCGTCGTGGCATAATTTTTACAAATATTGAAATTCTTCCCCGTTCCCAAATTTTTTGAAACTTTTGTTTCACTGAATTGACGGAAGTTTTCATCTCATAACAACTTTAATTCGAAGAACGCCGTGTGGACAGACGAACACCTAGACAATGCCAAATTTTCACCGATAAAACACGAATGTTCTAGGAAACGTGAGAATATTTCGCGTTTGAATTTTCAGGAAATTGTATTCGCAATGTTGTCTATTTTATGTCATAATTCGAAGAAAATATGCTCATAGCCTCTCATTGAAGAAGCTGTTATCAACGAAATTTGACGATATTCGGATGCTCATAAGGCGTTTTTTTGTGCATGACATGAGTACTGCCCTGCTAAGGAAGAACGTCGTATGAGAATTCCGGCGTTGCCATATTTCTTTCTATAAAAAGCGAATTCACTGGGGAAAATCGTGAATACTTTTCTTCGAATTGTTCAGACTATTTTGTCTGCAATTTAATCTGAAGTATCTGATAATTTCAAGGAGAAATATGCTTAACTGTCTTCGAAAATACATGTTTTATTTAAGGAAATTTGACAACTCTGGAATGTTGTTACGGCGATTTTCCTGAGCATGACAAGAGTAGATCTACGGCGTTCGCCTAACGACGACCACGTTGCGATCGTTTGCCCATTTTAGGACGAAACCGCGCAACCTCGAAGCCGCAGGAGTCGACGCGCTCCGCCGCGAGGACAAAACCGCGTATCTGCGTGTGGTTTTACACTGGGTGTTGCGCCGTTTTCGGGCGACGTGGAAAATCGGCGGTTGTAAATTCGAACCGATCCGGTCTTGGGTCTCGGGAGACGTCCGGAGGAAACCTAACAAGGCGCGGCGTGGCGTGAATTGCGATATATCGATTGTTATGCCATTTAAACCTATGGTAAAGAATCGATTATTAAGGTGTTCGCTGCGAACACGCTGTTAATCGATCCTTTTCCATAGGTTTAAGTAGCATAACAATCGATCTATCGCAATTCACGCCACGCCACTGCAACAAGACGCGGGAACTAGGCGTTGGCACCGATTGTTGTTCTTTAATTGAGCCTTTTTTAGGGTTTAAGTGGTCGTCGAACCGTCGTTGTTTGGTCTTGTTTTGCGCTGCGGTGTTCCTTTTTTTTTTCACTTCACCACCAACCATCGCGGCGTCGGTTACGGATCGGGGGTTCACTCGTCTATCCGTCGCTTGGCTGACAAAAAGGCGTAACCACAATTTGATATGAGCCCGGGAAAGCATTGAATTGTATGGAAGACAGGGTTCATCGTGAAATGTAGTTACGGCTTCATGTCAGAAGGGCGACGTATTGATGAGGATCGTCTCCCCGGAATTGTCAGGTGAGAGCCCAATTCTACGGTGCTAAGGAAGAACGCCGTATGGACATACGAATGTTGCCAAATTTACTCTTTGAAAAAAATTATATTTGAAGAAAATTTTGGATATTTTTTATTGAACTTTCCAGACATTTAAGATCAAATCACGAATACAATTTTCGGAAAAATTGGGAGTGGAATACTTAGAAATTTTCCCGAAAATTCATTATTTGTCAAAGGAAATTTGGTAACCACTGAAGGCTCATACGGTGTTTTTCCTTAGCACGAGGAAGTAGAATGCGCTCGAACTTCTCCTGGTTTCGTTTGGCCAAGCGTCACGCGACAGGGTCTGATTTACGGCCGTTCAATAAAGTTTTTCGATTGGATCACAGGGAATGGGGTGGTTTTTAGACTAGAGACTAGTAGCGCATGCATTAAATGCGTTTGTTTAGTGATTTTGAACCCTGGAATTTTTTATCTGTTTTTTTTTTTTTTTTTAAGTTTTGTCGCTTCCCTAGCGGGTAGAGGAAGTATTTTTTCTGCGTATCATCTTCCTTAAGGAAAAAGTAGGTTTTATTAGGGGAGGTTAAACCGAACCGGTTAAAGTTTTTAGCGTAGGAACGAGAAGCGGATTTTTTCCCCGACGACCCTGTTCTCCGGGCAATTGGCTTCATGCGAGCTTTTTCTTCAGCGGCCGTAACCGCCTCGCTCCCAGTGGCGTGGCGTGAATTGCGATATATCGATTGTTATGCCATTCAAACCTATGGAAAAGGATCGATATACGGGGTGTTCGCAGCGAACACCTTAATAATCGATTATTTACCATAGGTTTGAATGGCATAACAATCGATATATCGCAACTCACGCCACGCCACTGCTCGCTCCGCGTAATGATAGGAGGAAAAGTAGCTCCCTGCTGACTAATTTAGCTCTTTACTATCTAATCGTGATCGACATGTAATTGTATGTGTGTAATCTCGTGCTTTTTCCTTGAAAATCGAAGCACTTGCATGCATTGCACTCGTTGAGTCGCCGATGCCATGTTCGAATGAATTATTCTGTTTGTTTGCCCGAGTCTAATGCTCTGTTTCGTTTCTTCTGTTGCAGGACAACTCATAATGAATTGGAAAAAAACAGGTACGTCACCACCGTCAATCATTACTTTTCATCGTTCCTGCTTTTATTCGCCTGCCATGGTTGCTATTAACCCAACCCCACGACCTTATCAGAATGGTCAATTTGGACGAAGGATTACACTATCGATCGATTCAAAATTTGAGAAACTACGGTCTTTTTTTCCGTTCTCACTTATTTTTGTGCGTGTATATATATACTAACCAAAACTGCCGTTTAAATATGGAACATTTTTAGGGAGAAAAAATGTCAGCGACAATTCTCCTAGCCATGATTTGAAATGAAACTTTAAAAAACACAGAGTTGGTCCATAGAGGTGCATGGACTCTCAGGGTAGCGTGGGATATCCCCTTCATCACAGCCTCAACTTAGAGAGCTTTTTTTGAGCTTTGGAGTTGATTTTAGAGCAAACCAGTGGCACCTGAGCACGGTAGCGTAGGACACGACTCTACACTGTCGTGCTAAGGAAGAACGACATATGAACTTTCAGACGTTGCCAAATTTCCTTCAGTGAAACCTTAATTTACCGGGAAAATCGTGAATTTTTCCTTCAATTTTTTCAGTCAATTTTGTTCGCAACTTTGTCTAAAATGTCTAAAAATTTCAAGGAAAAATTCGCATAATAAAAATACATGTTTTATCCAGGGCAATGCGGCAACTCTCGAATGTTCATACGGTATTCTTCAGTAGCACGGCAGTACGGCCCGGCGCTTTAACCCTGGGACACCCTGTACAGCGAGTCTACTTCCAACGCCCCTCACATCGATCCCGGCCCCGACCAATGGGATGCTCCGGGCCGATCATTCGCCCACTCTATAGATAGACAAAAGCTCTATCTCGTTTCGTTTCACCCACGTGGTGGTGCCTTATCCGCCGTGCGATCGCGGGCCTTGGCACCTCCGATCGATTTGCGTCGCAGCTCTGACACATATTCAATAGCGTGAAAGTTTACGTGCCCCCCCCCCCCCCCCCNGGGGCTCCCGTGATAGCCGCTCTGGCGTCGTCCGCTCGTTAAATCCCCAACTTTTCCCAATTATTTCGATTTTCCTCTCTCTCGCTCTTTTTTTGAGTTAATCGACCGGTATTACAACGACGGAACCTCGTCGTCGTCGAAGTTTTCCCGGTTTATTTTTCTCGGCGTCAATCATGGACGATGAGTTGATTAAGAGCCAGGGTGGGAGGTGCGACTCTCCGCTTTCGGACGTAGGGTTGAGTCTCGTTAGGTGAGGAAGTAACTTTTCGAAGAAATAATGCGTCTGAAGATCTATCGTGAAAAATTTTAATTGAACCGTCTGTGCGAAAATAGGTGAAGTTTATTGTCTCTGATTTGAAAATCTACGAAAAATTACGCAAGAGAACTTCCAAACCAATCACCGAACCCCCAGACCCTCGGACCACTAATTAAAACCCAAATCTTCAAACCTTGAAGAGTCTTTCAATCGATAAAGCTCAGAAGATTGAAAAAAATAGACCTTTGTTGTTTTTGTACTAACCAATTCAATTTTAACTTGAAATTCCACCTCGGATTTCTAAATGGATTACATTTTGCAATAAGGAACCACTGTCTTCGGCTCCTTCAAAAAGGCACATTCCTGCATACGGAATGAGCCAGAAACAGTGGTTCCTTATTGCAAAATGTAGCCCAAATGGTACTGGAGTTGAACGGAGTAGAGCGATTATATCGATGCTAGCGCAGTATTCTTGAATAGATGGCTTCCTTTCGCTGTATGAGGCTCGATTGAACTAACAAGCTAACTAAAATTTCACTAACTTTTTAATTTTTTGTGTATGTGACATGCTTAGTTTTTGCTGAATTTTGCTTGGGATTCGTTTTGCCTAATGTCAATAGTTCGAATTTTAAAAGCGTGTTATTCATGATACCATACATTTGACACTATGTTTATAATTCATTGTTACTATATTGACCAAGTTTGAATTATGAGGAGCATCGAAATCGATCTTAGTACAAATATTTTTGTAAAGGTACCGAAGCATCTCATAATATCAGCCCTATCAAAATCAAAACATGACTGTGAAAAGTTTGGATGTTAGTGTCCGCCACGTTCTGTTGGACTTTTTCGGAGCTGTAGACAAAATATTTTCAGAGTCTGTGCAATCATTGTAGGCCGCTAAGTTGTGAAGTTATTTTCCTGAATCAGCAATTATCTAAGAGATGAGAGATGATAGAAGTTATGTGAGGTCTTGGTTGCTAAATACCGCTTTAAATTTTGATCAATAGACATCGAAAGGAGAATTTGAGTAGCGTTGACGTTTGAAAATATCTTATACTTCATAGCGAAGATCCCAGTATTTTTTCAGATGCCTTATTCTAGATGAGTTGATCTGATCAGCATCAGTAATCAGGAGACAGTGAAGAGAAGGAAAAGAATTAGTGGAATATGGAGGAGAAGAGAATGAGTGAGAAAGAGAGATGAGAAAATAGGTAGATGAGAGGGATGATGATCAGAACAGCTCTAGTAATCAGCATAATACAGTGGCTCAGACTGTACAGTTTCTAAAAATATTTCGTCCAGGGCTCAGATCGGAACGTTTTTATTCGCCCATCGGCGAAGCTCAACACTGCCGTTCTAAGGAAGAACGCCTTATGAACCTTCAGGCGTTGCTATATTTCCCTCGATGAAATACGAATTTTTAGGGAAATTTGTGAATATTTCTCATCCAATTTTCCAGGAAAATGTGTTTTCAATTGAGTGTAAAGTATCTGAAAATGTTGAGGAAAGATACTCACAAGTCTCCTCCAAAATAAATATTTTACCACGAGTGAATATGGCAACCTTTGAAAGTTCATAGCGCGTTTTTCCGTAGCACGGCAGTGCAGCCGAGCAGCGGCGTGGCGTGTTTTGCGATATATCGATTGTTATGCCGTTTAAACCTACGGAAAAGGGTCGATAAACAGGGTGTTCGCAGCGAACACCTCAATAATCGATTCTTTACCATAAGTTTAAATGGTATAACAATCGATATATCTGCAGCCGAGCAGCCCGAAAAGGCGCGGACGGCGGCGACACCAGACCAGTCCCAGCAACGGAGTGTAAAAAACTCAATCCAAAGCATTGCACGCATCGGAACCGAATGCGTATCAGTCGTTGCATAAATTAAATCATGTCATTCATAATTTAACGACTCACGCTCTCATGGTGACGTATCGCGATTGTTCGATTAACCAACTCGGGTAGCAGTGTTGTTTTTATGGTTTTACGAGCCCGGGCCGGCGGGGGCCNGGGGGGAACCCCCCCTCCCCTCCCCACGCCGGCTCGGATCCGTGCGCTTTCTGTACCTATCTGTTAAGATCGCTTTCCTGCTTTGCGTTTTATGGCGGTCCTCGCTCCATCGAGCGGGCCCGTATTCCCCATCGCTCGTCGTTAAAATCCGAATCGTCCGTTTTTGGATGAGCTCTCGGTTTCGTGAAGATGCTTGTATTCCAGGGCTCATCGATTTTGGGGGACTTGTGCGGTTTTCACATCGATTGATTAATTTCTATGTAAGTGCGTTTCGATTTTGAGCCGCGGTTAGTATGTGCCCTTACGGGCGCCGAGGCTCATGCCGAGTGTGGAGTTACTGCGCTTTTCCGTAGGGTGGCATGGTTTTCCGCTCCGCGGTCTCGTTGGCTTGACGTTCATTCGCCATTGTTTTCGGATTTATTGACGGATGGTCGGATGGGAGCGCGAGCCTTCGCCGCTACGCTGAGGAAAAACGGCGTATGAGCTTTTGAACGTTGCCAAATTTCTCCCCGTAAAATACTAATTTCCGAGAAAGTTTCTATTATGTTCACTGGAGTTTTCCAGGACAGGTAGACTGATTTGGGAACGGCGTTTCTTACGAAATTCGATGGTTAAATTTCGAGGGTTTTCTTGGAAACTCGTGTTATATCTGAGGAGATTTGGCAACGTTGGAATGGAGATATGGTGTTTTTCTTAAGCCAGTATGCCGACTCCGAGTGACAACTTCTTTTCAGGGTGCGTTCGCTGCGCCCGGGAAACCTGGCGAGAACAAAGGAAGTATCCCTCCCCCGCCCCCGACCCCCTTCAGTGGCGTCGCGCGCTTTGCGATATATCGATAGATCTGCCGATTAAACTCATGGAAAAGGATCGATAGATAGGGTGTTCGCAGCAACGTACACTGGAAAAAAAGCACATTGGATCTAGAGTCCAGACTCTTGAAAACATCGACAAGAAAAAATACTCTTGATCCAATCGGATTTTTGCTTGAATCAAAATGAAATCCGCTTAAATTAAGAGGCTTGATTCGTGATTTAAGCTAGATTCTGATTAAATCAAGCGTACTTTTTCTTGTCGATGTTCTTAAAAGTCTGGACTCTAGATCCAATGTGTATTTTTTTTCCTGTGCACGCCTTAATAATCAGTTCATTACCATAGCTTCTAATGGGGAAATATCGACAACCGATCATTTGGACTGCATTTTGCAATTTGGACCTATAAATTCTGACTCATCTAAAAAAACACTTATGTGCATAGGGAAACTAATGGCACATACGTTGTTTTTAAGTTGGGCCCGAATTTATAGTTCCAAATTGCAAAATGAAGTCCATTTACGCCTCGCCACTAATCTCAAGTTTTCAAAAACTGTACTTATGCGGTTTGTCCTCCAAGCCCCTCGTTTGAGGTTAGGTGGTCCCTCAGAAGCCACGGCTCCAGCCACCTTCTGAAATTGGGGAGGAGTCATCCCCGACGGGGTGGCGATTCCCAGCACTCGGGATGGGGACGCGGGGTCGAAGGCAGGACACGGGAGACACGGCGGAGGCACGCTGCTCTCGGAGCCCGAAAGGTCACAAGGTCACCGCGTTTAGCGTAAGCCGTAAATTAGATAACCGGGAGCCCGCGCGCTACCGCAGAGCGANGGGGGGGGGGGGGGGGGGGGGGGGGGGGGGGGGGCGATCGCGCGGTCGGGAGTCCCGCTTCTTCCCGTGCGGCGTCATGAAATTCCTACCATGCGAATTATTTTGGCACCCGGCGTGGAAATGG